GAACTGTGAGATCATGACCTGAGCCAAAGTTGGAGGCTTACCCCACTGAGTCACCCAGGTGCCCCAAGAAGCAGTTAGTTTTATTTTTAGCTGTTTCTTCTGGCATTTACTCTCATATGGCTAAGTGATAAGCTTACATTGCCATTTTTTTTAATCTTTCCATTTTAAATATTATCCTTTGGCTTCTTACGAGAGAAGATGAAGTTTTAACCTTTTCTTTTTTTTTACTTCTTTTAACTTTTTATTGATTTTTTTTAGAGAAATAGAGTGTGAGTTGGGGAGGGACAGAAAGAGAGATGGAGACAGAATCTGAAGCAGGCTCCAGGCTCTGAGCTGTCAGCACAGCTCTGTGGGGCTTGAACCCATGAACCATGAGATCAGGACCTGAGCCTAAGTCAGAGGCTCAACAAAGTGAGCCTCCTGAGGCTTTAACTTTTTAATGCCCTCCCTCTTCCTTCCTCTTATACATATACATAACATACCCTCAATTAACACTTCCCTTTCCCCTAGCCTGGCAATACAGTTACATTATAGCTTTTGGTTATATCAATATCTTTGTTTCTTTACTATGAAGTTTAAATGTAATTCACAGTTTTCCTATGTGTTAATTACACCACGGGTCTTATCGTGTATTGTTCCCTCTCGTGCACGTCTGCTTGGAGTAAATAATTGTCTTATTTTTTAAGTACTTAATTTTCTCTGTACTATCGCTAATTAATTCCCAAAGTTTTGAACAAAACTTGAAAGTTGTTATTAATATGTCCAAACTCATCAAGTAGCATATCGTCTTTTCCCAAAAGAAATCATTCCTCAGTGTTTGCTTTTCCACTTTCGAATGGCTGACACGTCAGCCTCCTGCCTCTCGGATCATTCTATCACTTTTATCTGAGAACCCCCTCTCTTCTTGGTTGGTTCCTTTGGTTCCTGAGTCCTATTTTCTGATTCATATCTCTGCTTTGTGGCAGTATATTCTTTGATGGCTCCTTGAGAAGGACTGCAGGAAACATTTTTGAGGTATTGTTTATTAGGCAGGATAGGCTATCATGGTATCTCAGCCTCAGCACTATTGACATTGGAGCCAGATGATTGTTTGTTGAGGGAAGCTGTCATGTTGACTGCAGAATGTTTAAAGTCATCTCTGGGCTTTACTACCTAGATACCATTGCTAACTGTCCCCTGGGAATCATTGTCAACTCCAGTTAAGAACCACTGAGCTCTGTAAACATATTCATCTCCAAATCTGAGTTGCTTAACGAACAAATGTTTGTAGCTTATTCATGGTACATGCGCAGTGTGGGTTGGCACAGTACTCTGTTCTTCATATTAATTTATATAATTATTCAGGAACCCAAGGTGACAAACACACCCTTATCTTTTATTGGCACAATGATTGTATTCTAAGGTCAAAGGAGCTGAGAGAGTGGGAAGCAGGGCAATTTTCACTATCTCAGTTCAAACCTTGTAGATTTACTTCTTCTCATATTCTAAAAATTGGCCAGAATTAGTCACAGATACATTGTTAATTTCAATGACGAAAAGGAAAAATGATCTCTGTCACATCTTATAATTCTGAAAATATCTTTATTTTGCCCTTATCTAATTAATAGTTTGGCTGGGTTTAGAGTTCTCCACAAGAAAACAATTTTGTGGTATAAATACCATTTTACAGATGAAGAAACACCTTCAGAGAGGTGCGGAACTAGTAAATAGTATAATTGGGAATGAACCAACTGCACATCAGAGGCAACGTTATGTGTTCATTGTATGCATCTCATTTTCCTCCTGGGCACATAGATAAACTGCATTTGCCAGCTTTCTTTCACTGGATTTCTCACTGTGACCAAATTTTGGCCAGTAGAATGGGGCAGAAGTGAAGTGTGCCTGGTCCATAAATATATTCCAGGTGCAATTCTCTATTATTCTTTCTTTCCTCCTGGTGAACCCAGAAGCCATGAGTTAAATGGCGGTAGCATCAGATGGAAACAGCGTGAGTGTCTGAATGATGTGATGAAGGAAGAGTCCTGCTCCAACCTCATTGGAGTGATTAAGTAATAAACCTTTTGTATTAAATAATAAACTTCAGCTACTATGGTGTTGAAGTTTGTTATTTTACCAGCTGGCATTTTTTCTCCTAAGGGAGAAATGGATCCTAGAAAGTGCTGCTGTAAGCCACTTGCAAGAGTTCTCTTTGACTTAGTACTCTGGAAGCAAGTGACAAGAAACTCGGGTGAAAAGATGGTGACCATGTTATCAAAAACATTTGATAAAACTATTTCATATAATAATGTGAAAGGTAAGCAATATACCTCATATGCCAGCAGCTCTAGGGAGAGTGATTGAAAAGGAGTGTTAGTCTATAAGTTACTAGAGATGAGAATTTGCCAGTTTGCCAGTAGAAATGAAAAGATATAAAAAGGGTCCAGAAATATGAAACCTTGAAGGTAGGAAAAACCAAACTTTTTCCCATACCACAGAAGACACATTTGAGAAATACTTTGAGCAATTAAATTCCATTAAGATCCACCCTGGGACAAAGAACAGGCTAAGGGTGTGGTCCATTTTAGCCTGATAGCCTCAAAGCAGAAGCCATTCTACCAAGAAGGAGGCAGGGAGTGATAAGTCAAATGAAAGGGATTTGAGATAAAAGAACTTTTGGATTAGAACCCAACAAATTCAATATAGAAGGAAGAAACTCAATAAAAGCCATATGTAACAACTCCACAGCTAACATCATACTCAACTGTAAAAAGCTGATAGCTTTTTCTCTAAGATCAGGAATAAGACAAAGATGCCCACTCTTACCATTTCCATTCAATATAGTACTGAAGGCCCTCGCCAGAGCAATTAGGTAAGAAAAAGAAATAAAAGCATCTAAATCAGAAAGGAGGAATTAAAATTGTCTTTATTTTCAGATGACATGATCTTATATATAGAAGGCCCTAAAGACTACATCCAAAAACCTGTTAGAACTAATAAACAAATTTAGTAGTTTCAGGTTACATTATCAACATATAAAAGTCAGTTGCATTTCTATACACTAACAATGAACGATCCAAAAAAAATTTAAAAAATAATCCCATTTACAATAGCCTCAACACTCAATTACTAATCATCAGGGAAATGCAAATCAAAACCACAATGAGCTACCACCTCACACCTGTTTGAGTGAAAACAAAAAGAAGAAAGAAAACAAGTGTTAGTAAGGATGTGGATATATAGATATACTGAATGCCTCATTTACCATCATGGTGTCCCATACAGCATTACTTTTGTTGTACAGCTTAAGAAATGAAGTACTGGCTCATATCTTGGTATTCACTGCCTTGCCATGTACACAATCACCCAAAAGCAACTAAGCATATTGATTAGTGGAATGGAGTGTTGAAATGATGGATAACACCTTGCATACTTGGGTTGTGTCCAATCCATTGAGATATATTTTTGGAGCTTCTGACTAATTTATGATTCTCCTACATCCAGAATATACATATCTCAAAACTAAAAGGGTAGAAGGAAAATACCTTCTTGTCATTATTATCCCTAATGATCTACTTACAAAGTTGTGCTTCCTACTCTTTCAATGCTTGGATCTGCTGATTTTTAGGTCTTAGTACTTAAAGGAGAAAGTATCTAGCAGGTACACACTCAGGGTTACCTTGACTAGAAATTGTGGAATGTCAGCTAGTCATCTGTGTTCTTCATGCCAGTGAACTGACAGTTAAGGAAGAGAGTTACTTTGTTGTCTGGAGTGATTGATTCTGAATATTAAGGACAAACAAGGTAGCTGTTACATGATAAGGTCCAAAGGAAAATTTTAGAACCCAGGGAATTTTACGGGACCCCTTTTAGTATTTCAATATCTAGATGTCATAGTTAACAGAAGTCTGAAGCAACTCATACAGTCAAGACACTCATGTTTCATTCCTTCAGGAATGAGGATTTAAGTTATTCTGTCAAGTAAAGAACCATTACCAGCTGAGATTTTCACTGAGGGCATAGGGAGCATGGAGCCACGAGTTAGAGAATAGAGGACTATGGTAGCTACGCATTTTCTTTCTCACATGTTTTGCATAAATATTTACCAATTTCTTTCCCCCTCCCCCATTGTGTTAGGGATATTGGTGCTAGTTACCTTATAATGGAGTCTTTTAATTAAAGATGGGTGTTGTAATGGACTTATAAGAAGGATGAACATCATCCAGAGATGGATACAGTTACTAATAAGACTTTGGGTTTCCTTGTTTGGACAGAGGATGAACATGTCATTATTTGTATGAGGAATAATTGGATCATATTCAGCAGAAGAATAATGTAGTCTTATTGTTCTAAAGTTTAAATGCATGAATAAAATTATGTACAGGCCCTGAATATCCAAAAAAGGCAAATAGTGCATATATTGTTGAATCTCTGCACCATTTCTGCCCATTTGGACCCTCCCCCACATGCAGGATCTGGTTTATAGAATAGGTTTGCTGATGATGGGCATGCATCCAAGATTTGGAAGGTGAGAGGGAAAGATAAACCATTATTCTCTGGCAGCAGCTCCTGGCAGACACACAGGCATATAGCAGACATGAAATTTGCAGGGGCTTCCTGGCGGACTCCTGCAGAACACTGGCTTCAGCCTGCAGTCAGTGGAGTCCATTAGGGTCAACTTTCCTCTTCTTTCTGAGTCCCTAAACATCAGCTATAGTTTCTGGACCTTTTACCCTCCAATTCTTCCAAAAGTTTGTAAGCATTTAATTAACTGCCTTACTTCTCTTCCTGCTTAAAATAGCTAGAGTGATTTCTGGTCTCCTGAGCAACAGCTGATAAATACCTGTTTTTTCATTTTTCTCCTCTATACCACTCCACACCTGTTCTGTGTTTAGCCCTGTGGGATGTGATTTAGGAGACCCAGTAGAAGAAAAGGCATAGCTATATCTGGTAACTACTTGCTATATAGCAAAGCACCCCAAATTTAGTGGCATTTAACAACAACAATTTTATTCTGCTCACAGATTCCATGAGACAAGAATTCCAGCATGACACAATACCCTGGCTTGTTTCTGCTACATCACATCATGGCCAATCTGGGAAGATACATAATCTGGAAGGACGTCCACAGGTAGTTACTGAAATCATCTGAAGGCTTATTCATTCATGTGTCTGGCACTTGGGCTGGGAGGACTTGATGTCTATTACTATATAGTATCTATTGTCTGCACTATTGCAGACTAGAGTGTGCATGCGTTTTCTCACCATGTGGCTTGGCTTCCTCACAGTATGGCAGCCTCAGAGCAGTCAGATTTCTTATATGGTGGCTCAGGGCTCCAAGCATGAGACGGCAAACAAAATGGAAGCTGCATCTCCTTTTATGATCCAGCCTCAGAGGTCACATGGGATCACTTCCACTGAACTCCATTAGTCAATTATTGTCAGAAGGCCATCAAGATACAAGGGGAGGCATATAGACTCTGGGCTTGATAGGAAGGGTATCTAAGAATTTAGGAGCCATGTATCAAAACTTTTGTACCATTTGGATGAGAAGTCAGAGCTCCTTTATTGCCGTTGTAATTCCTCCTATTTGGAGTGTTCTCTCATTACCTGAGACTCAACACAAATGCTGACCTGACGCCATGTAGAATAGTAGTCAAGCACCCTGACTATGAAGCCAACATCTCAGTGTGAATCACAGGTCCATCACATATGGGCCTACTGACCACAACACATACTTACTCTATCTGTAATGGACTATCTATATGTGTAAGAAGATGACAATAGTTTCTACTTCAGAAGCTTGGTTTAAGACTTATAGTGCATTGAGCGGTGGCCCCCAACAAAAAGTATTGTCCATTGGGAACTTGTGAATTTAGTCATATTTGGAAATAGGGTCTTTGCAAAGTAAGGAAGTTAAGCATCCTGTGATGAGATCATCCTGTGTTATATGGGCTCTGAATTCAATAAGTGTGATTATTAAGAGATCAGTTGTGCTTCACATAATGAGTGCTATATGAGTGTTACTATTTTTACTTAAATTATCTCCCTTTTCCATCAGTGAGTCCTATGACTTTTATTTCATAGCTCCTATCAATTGCCCCTTTTCTTTTATTTGTTTCCTTGCATATTATCTGCCTTTGTATACTGGAATGTAGACACCTTGATAGGAGAGTCCTTGTCTTTTTCATTGTTGTGCCCTAGTTCTGAGAACATGAAAACAGGTATTTGATGATGACTATTTACTGAATAAATGGATAACCAAATGGATCTGGGAAAAAAAAAAACACAGAAAAAAATAATGCTGAACTACCTGGTCAAATGGATTACAAATGGGAAGTGCACAGTATGATAGAATAGTTAAAAACTTTCATGAAAGAGGTTGAAATTGAGGTATGACTTATGCAGAATGAAAGTTCAATATGGGGAAAGTCTTTTTGAAGGTCAGAAGTATGTCTTATTCACCTTTAAGTTCCTACCCCCCCATATGAGTGTCTGGCACATAAAACACGCTCAAAGATATTTTTTTAATTGAATTTAGGAAAGTGACATTCCAGAAAGTGAACAGTATGAGTACCTTATAGAAGGTTCCATGAGGAATGAATATATAAGTAAAACAGAAACAAACATTCTGAACCCATTTACTTGACTGAGGGTAGAATTGAAAATCCTTTTTGTACTTAATCTCCTACAAGTTGTTTACTACAGATTTCATTTTATCTAGAAGGAGCCTCCCTTCTGGAAATATGCCCACCAGGAAGAGCAGCCTCTAATACAGACTTAAACTTGATGCCTGGTCCAATTTTGTCATTGTGAAGATAGATTACTAGTGTTCCCAGTCTCTGTGTCTGAAGCTAACAGTTCAAGTGGTCTGCTCATCACATCTTCTCTCCATCCTATATGTCTGAACAAATCTACCCTTAAGTGATTGAAACTGTTTTTTTCCTTTTGTTTATCTTTTATCGTTCTTTCTCTTGGCTGCACATATGGTTATTGCTGCACAAGGAGAAGCAAGCCACATACAAACTCTTTCTATTTTTTTTTTGGGGGTGGCTTCAAGCTATTCATTTTTAGAACCTATTTCCTTTTATTAATGGGTGAGTGAATTGCACTGATTTTCCAACTCAATTTCTAAGCATTTTACCACATTCCTAATTTAAATCTTCTTTTATTGTTATGACAGATCAGCAGACCATTTTCCTTTTTTTTTTTTTTTTTTTGGTCTCCGTTGTGCAATGACCTATATGAATAAAACTACTTTAAGAAGATGCCATAACGAGTAATCAGAATTGTAAACATCTTAAATCAACACACACCGTTGAAAGTCACTCTCTAGAAAAGGCAAGCATCTTCCAGAAACCCTATGATAAAAATGAAATAATAAAAAAGAGACATTAGAATAGATAATAAAACATAAATACTTCTGCCTCCCGAGTATTTTTCCCCATTCCATTTTATCTCACATCTATGATAAAATAGTGTTGAATTTTAATAAGAAAAAATTACAGCTAATTTAAATATAGACTCTTTGTCTTCCAATTGCCTGCTTTTGCTTTCCAGTTTCATCATCTGTAAAATGGGGATAGTTTTGGTGACTGTCTCTTGGGTTGGTCCACTGATGTATGATTTTGTGTGTTCTGTTTCATCTCCTTTCTTGATACTCTATTAACATGGGGATATTTATTAAAGGGAAATGCATATACATGGAACTGAAAAACAGAGTTAGTCTAATGATTGGCTATAATTTTTTTTTTTATCATTTCAAAAGGCACTCACTAAGTTTACCTGAATTGAAAAGAGTGAAGTTGGTCTTTATAGAATTCTGTAGAATGGGGCATCCTTGGAGTTGCTTTGCAGAGCATGAAGCATGGGTCCCGCAGAGATGCTGCTTTAGTTCACCCTGTGGGCAGTCTCCATGAAGGGCCATGGCAAATATGCCTGGGCACCTCACGCCTAGGCTGGGTTATAGCGATAACCCCTTTTCAACAGAGCAGTCACATGCAGCACACACCTTTTACAAGCTCTGGGCTTATTTCTCTTGAGGACCTCTCTTCATCGCTCGATGCTTCTATAATTAAGTTAGGTACCGAGAGCGCTGTATTCCTTTTTCTTTTCTACCACTGAGAGAGCACTTAGTTGAGTCCTATGTTGTTTATTTTAGATGCAGGCAGTGGGAAGCAGAAAGCCCAGTGTACTATCATCTCGTCTCAGATTTGATTGGTGGATTCTCCTTTGGATTGAACTGCATCTGTTCAGTGAAATTGTAAATGGCCACTTACCTCTTGGAACTGACTCATTTTTAGTCTGTTTTTTTTACCTATGTCTTCCATAATAGAACAGCAAACAATTCAAGGGCAGGGTTATTTGTTCTCTTTGGCTTCCTCTAGTGTTTCACCTAGCATCTTCCAGCACACACCTACAGTCCTATTTAAATAACAATTATCCCACACTGAGTCAGAGCAAATAATAAAGCTCACTGCAGATTCATTTCAAACCCCAGTGATGGGAAGGTCAAAACCTTGGGGGAAAAAAAACCTAAAACACAAATAACTCCGTCTCTCACAAGCTCCAGTAGCAACTTGTACATGCTAATGGCAGAAATAGTGTCTGAAATATTATTATCACTTCAACTATCAAATTACTCTCTGATGTTAATTTGGAGGCAGATCTGTTATATACCTATAGCAATCATTGTATAGTAATTGAGAAGACTTCACAAAGTAGTAGACCCAATTCCAAACATTTTGTTTAGGTAACATTTAGTTACCTTAACTAACTCATTTAATTTTTACAACCACCCCATGAGATAGAAACTATAATTATGTCTGTTATAAAGATGAGGAAACTGGGATGTGTAGAGTTTAGGAATTTGCCGAAAGTCACATGGCTAAGAATGGGATCAAAGAAATTTGATCATGGGTTGTTTGGCTCAAAACACCCACGGTTTCAGCAGGCAGGCTGTACACACATACCTGCTTGTGAAAATATGAATGTAAGGAACAAGTTTTCAAGTGTCCTCTCAATTTTGGTCCCTAATCATGATACCCATTTTTCTATCCCTGCACCATGTCTAGCATTATGTCCCAAGGGAAAAGGGGAGGGAGTAAGTCTAAGAAGTTATGATATACGGAGCTCTCCTGGCCGTATAGAAGGAAGAAGAGAGAAAGGAAGGTCAACTCCAGTCTCTCTGGGAGATTATGGAGAAATGAAGGAGACAAAGTTGGGAGAAACAGAGTGGGAGAGACTGCTTTTGTGTTCCTAAAACATGGAAAGAACCCTGAAGTTCCCATAGGCTTACCTACAGTTCACACAGAGGCTGCTGAAGGCTTGGCAATAGTCATTACCAAACGGGTGACCTTTAATCAAAGCCAAGACTGCAGGTGGACCACCTGAGTCTGGGTCAAAATAGCATTGATAGTTGCTCTGCAGCACCAATGAGAATGGAATGGAGGCAGCAGCATCAGGGACCCCCGGGACTTGATCAGGCTAAGCAACAGTGAGCAAGAGATACTTGAACTGCAGACTTCAGCTGCAAATGCCCACTGTACGTCTACAGCGAAGATCAGATCATGGACACCTTAGGAGTGCAGCGGGGGACCAGCAAAGCACCAGGGAAACCCCACTATTGCTAATTTTTTTAAAAAATGCTTATTTATTTGTTTATTTATTTGGAGAGAGAGAGAGAGAGAGAGAGTGCATGCACTGGAGGAGTGGAGGAAAGAGCGAGAGAGAAAAGAGAATCCCAAGCAGGCTCCATGCTGTCAGTGGAAAGCCTGATGGGAAACTTGACTTTACAAATTGTGAGATCATGACTTGAGCCAAAATCAAGAGTAGAATGCTTAACTGACTGAGCCACCCAGGTACCCCTGCTAGTTTTTTAGCTGGGAAAATTAGAATGAGATTTTTTTAAGCCTCATAGTAACATGTGACTGCCATCTTGAAGAGAAGTAGCTGGAAGAGGGACCAAACCTGAACAAAATGGAATCATTTTAAAGAGATTGGGTTACTTTGAGAGATGGCTTAAATTATTCCATTATATCCTTATTGAATTAAAGTTTTATCTTCTTCTACTATTGAAGTGAGACTCAAGAGAAAGATTAATGCCATGAAACAAATATCTACCTTTTCTTTATCCTGGTGGTGTGGTATCTTAATTTTCTTCAAAACAAGGAGGGTTCTGCATAAATCTCTCTTTCATGGTATGAGTTTATTCCCTTTAAACTTTTTTTCTAAGGGTGCACATGGGTTTAGAAATTAGTTCCTACTATAGTCTGAAAGGGCTCCAAATATCTTCAACCCTCTTAAAGAATGTTACTAAAACAGTGGCAAAATTTCCTAAAATATTAAGTAAATACTAATTACTTAATTCTAAAATTTTAGAGTTAAACCAGAGTTTGAAATTAATTGATCTTATGGCCAACAGACACATGAAATGATGCTCAGTGTCCCTCATCATCAGGGAAATACAAATTAAAACCACACTGAGATACCTACTCATTCTGGTCAGAATGGCTAGAATGAACAAATCAGGAGACTATAGATACTGGCAAGGATGTGGAGAAATGACACTCTCCTACACTGTTGGTGGGAATGTAAACTGGTGCAGCCCCTCTGGAAAACAGTGTGGAGGTTCCTCAAAAAATTAACAATAGAACTCCCCTAAGACCAAGCAATAGCACTGCTAGGAATTTACCCAAGGGATACAGGAATGCTGATGCATAGGGGCACATGTCCCCCAGTGTTCATAGCAGCACTTTCAACAATAGCCAAATCATGGAAACAGCCTAAATGTCCATCACCTGAGGAATGGATCAAGAATATGTGGTCTCTCTCTCTATATATATACAATGGAATACTACATGGCAATGGGAAAGAATGAAATCTGGCCATATGTAGCAACATGGATGGAACTCGAGGGTGTTATGCTAAGTGAAATAAGTCAGGCAGAGAAGGACCGATACCATATATTTTCACTCATTTGTGGGACAAGAGAAACTTAACAGAGGACCATGGAGGAGGGGAAAGGGAAAAAATAGTCAAGGAGAGGGAGGGAGGCAAACCATAAGGGACTCTTAAATACTGAGAACAAACTGAGGGTTGAATGGGGTGGGGGGGGAGAGGGGAAAATCGATGATGGACATGGAGGAGGGCACTTGTTGGGCTGAGCATTGGGTGTTATATAGAAACCAAGTTGACAATAAACTATAAAAAATAAAATAAAATTAATTGATCCTACTGTTACTTAATATATTACTTTGGTTATTGATTGCTGCAGAAGTTGCCCTAAAACTTAATGGCTTAAGATAACAATGATTTATTTGCTCATAGTTCTGTAATTTGAGCTGCATGGATGGATGCAAATCATGTTATTCTTGCCTGGCCGCAAATGAGGCCTGTGGAAGGAAGGTCTAGTATGGCTTCATTCAATGTCTAGGTACTTGGTGTTGTGTGCTGACTAGACCTTTTTTCTAGGCAGTCTCTCTTTGCTCCATAGCCTAAGAAGAACTCGTTAACATTGTTCAAGGAATGTCCCAAGAGAGGGAAGGGGAAGCTTTCAGGTATCTTGAAGCCTTGGTGTCAGTCAGCACTGCTACAGTTTGATCTCTCCATTCTACTGTCACATCAAGTCAGAAGGCCATTTCAGACTTGAGGCTGGCCAGAGAAACACTCCCACTTCATGGGAAGAGCAACAGAATATTATAGGAATGGTTTTCCAGTCTACCACACGGACCTTCCACCTGTTATGTGCTTTCTTCAAAATTGAGTTCAATATATGGCTTAACCTCCAAAAGATGTTCTTACTATAAACTTTTATATATTCACTTTTGATTTATCTGTAGTATCATATTTATTTTTCTATTATTCTTTATTCCTTGTTCTATTAAAAAAAATCCATATAAGATCATTTTTATTCTACTTGAAGAACTTCCCCAACATTTCCTTTACTGTGGGTCTGCTCTTCATTAGTTCTTTTAGTTCTGTTTATCTGAAAATTCTTATATTTCACCTTATGCTTTTGGAATCTATTATTTGGGCTTGCCAGTTATTTTCTTTAAGTTTTCTAAGTATATGTATCCATCAACTTCTGACATTCATGATTGCTAATGAGAAGACAGATGTCAGTCTTAATTTTGTTGCTTTCAAGGGACTATGTATTAACTGGCTCTGTTGCTTTTACATGTTTCCTTTTACTTTCTCATTTTCAGCAGTTTGGCTCTATGTGTCTAGATATGGGGTTTTTTTTTTTGTAATCACCCTGCTTTAGTCTTTCAGAACTTTTTCTATCTGTAGCATGATAAACTTCATCAGTTTTGGAAGAAAATTTTCAATTTTTCTTGACATAAGTGTTTGTTAACTTAATGTCATAAGTAGAAAAAAAGTATGTCATATAGAGACCTATAATTAAGATGTAAAATCCATAAGAGATTGCCATTCTTATATAAGCAACCAAAACAGAGCAGAGAAGCATAATTTTTTAACTCCTCAGAAATCTTGAAATAATAAAAAGCCTAAGTCAACTAAAATACAGGATATGATTAACCTCTCTTAGCAGAGAAAATGCCCATATGGGGATCAGGAGAAAAAAAAAAATAGTTGAACCTTAGTTAAATATTTAATGACCATAAGTGGCCTGAAATGACAAATTAGAATTTTTGGGACCTCTTATCTCAGAAAAGATGAGGGCCTTTGCACCATCTATTTTCATTGTTCTTCACCGAGTGCTTGGATATAGTTTGTCGACCAGGATATTGAATGTGAAATGGTGCTTCCCCAGTTGTAAGAGGGCCGAGAGGGAGCTACTTTCTTTCCTCTCTCTCTGTGTTAGTTGCATGAAACAAATGACCACAGCGTGGTGCCTTGACACAATCTCTTATAGTTTTGGAGACCAAAAGCCCCAACTGTTTCACTGGGCCAAAAGCATGGTGTCAGCAAGGCCACACTCCCTCCAGAAGCTCTAGAAGGGAAATTTCTTTGCTGTTCCTGCTTCTAGAGCTTCATTCCTTGTGTTTCATGGCTCACGGCCTCCTACCCCATCTTCACAGCCTGGAGTGTAGCATCTTTAAATTTATCTCTCTTTCCACTGAGTTTTCTTCCCCTCACTCCCTTTCTCCACTCCCCACCCCCTACTTTTCCCTCACTTCCTTCCTTCCACAAATAGTGCATGCCTGCCATGTGCTAGGTGATGTACTTGGCTTTCATGTAGAGCTTTGTAATCATACAAGACAAAATATATGTGATCTCATGTGATCATCACAATCTCATTGAGAGACAAATGTGGTCATCATACTTCTAGATAAAGTCACGTTTCTTCTGAATGGTAGGTAAGGGTTTCTAAATTCAGGTGTCAGATTTTACATCCTTTGACTTTTCCATCCATACATGTACCAGCCTTTTCCTCACATGGAAGATTATACCTCAGTTCGACTTGCCTTTATGGTTACAAACATTTATAACTTCCTTCTGGTTGAGGGGCATGTTCCATTCACTTCAGCATTCCTAGATCTAGAATAGCACTTTTGTCATATCGGGAACCGCATAATGTTTGCTAAATTAAAGTAATATTTTCTCTCATTGGTTCCCATTTCTATCATTATTTCATTCTGGAGCACAGGAATATTTCACAGTGAACCTGGAGCTCCTCTTTCCTCTAGATAAATCACAAATCACATCTAGATAGCTAGTCTTACTTCTCTGACCAGTGCACAAAGACAATATTAGAGCAAGTCACTTTCGTCTTTCCACTCCTTCACTTGCTCCTCGTAAAGGGAAGAGGAGGTTTATGTCCAACTGTTAGGTCAGGAGAGCTATTACCTATTGCTTCTGATGTGTTCCTCAGAAGCTAAAATCCATCCTTTGTTTTAAAGTTATATCCAGATTTAATTTATAGCAGTATGACTGAAAGGTAACATGGAGAGGCCAGTGCCACTGAAAGAAGAATTTGTCACTTACATTCCCTGAGGGAAGAACCATGTCACACAGGCCCACAGAGAAAGCATTAGGACAGTCAGAGTGCAGAAGACCTGGCGTGAGGGGAACATCGGCCAGAGCCATTGTTGGGGTTTCTGTGGGAAAGACAAGGCCAGGCAGAGTCCACAGTGTAGGCTTGGCCAGTTTGAATAATTCCAGTGGGCGTTGGGCTATACAATGGTCCCAGTTGCCTGGTATCTGGCTCTGGGATGATTTAGGGCAGGGGAAATGTTGGCTTGGTGAGAGTCAGATAAGGAAGTGGCTATAGATCCAGGATTGATTGGTTTGCAAAGACAGGTGTGCTCCTAGGCAATATATTATCTTTAGTCCTGGGAAGGGCAGTCTTTTCCTGGGTCTGTAGGGCACCAAATGCCCCAGCATCAAGAATATAGAAAATAAGAAAGTATAGTCAATATAACTAGCACTGTGTTGAATGGATGACAAGTGGACAAATACAGAATTTAAGAAAACAAAGGTAGGACATCCTTCCAGCTCCTTCCGGGCATTTTGAAAAAAATTTTTTAAATGTTTTATTTATTTCTGAGAGAGAGAGAGAAAGAGACAGCATGAGCAGGGGAGAGTCAGAGAGAGAAAGGGAGACACAGAATCCGAAACAGGCTCCAGGCTCTGAGCTAGCTGTCAGCACAGCCTGACGCGGAGCTTGAACCCACGAACCGTGAGATCATGACCTGCACCAAAGTCAGACATTTAATCGACTGAGCCACCCAGGTGCCCCATCTTTTTGGGCATTTTGGACAGGCTGGTGCTGAGACACAGCACCTGCTAGGACCCCTGGTCTCCCAACTGTAAGTAAATTAAGAAAATCTTATTTCTGACAAGCCTGGCTGATCCTCTGCTTGCTTAGCGTCAGAGATTTTGTTTGTTTGTTTTATGTTTTTGTGGAGGGAAGTTGTTTTCTACCACTTTCATTTGAGTGGATAAGGCATTATTGGACAATTCCAGAAATGACAGGTAGAAGATGCCACTATTCTCTAATCTAGTCTTTTCTAGAGAGTCAGAAATAGAGCAGATTCTTTGCTTTGTTTGATTTTATATGATATAGTATTGGCCAATACCCTGGGGATGTGGGATGAGAAAATTATAGAATTTGGGCCCTAAACTTGACCCTGCCTCCAAACAGCCTGTTAGCTATTCCCTTGTTCCCTTGTCTCACTCCCATGCATGCCCTTGTTTTCTTTTCTCTCTTTCCTTCTCTCCCTCCTTTCTTTCTCCTCCTTCTTTCTTTCTTTCTTTCTCTCCCTCCTTTCTTTCTTTCTCTCTCCTTCCTTTCTTTCTTTTTCTTTCTTTCTTTCTTTCTTTCTTAGTTTTAGAGAAAGAGAGACTGCAGAGAGGGAAGTGGAGAGAGAGAGAGAGAGAGAGAGAGAGAGAATCTTAAGCAGGCTCCATATTCAGCACCAAGCTTGACATGAGACTCAATCCCATGACCTGGGGATCATGGCCTGTGCCAAATCAAGAGTCAGATGCTTAACTGACTGAGCCACCAAGTGCCCCTTGTTTTCTAGTCTTAATGCCACTATCCTACTTCTGGTATTTATCACATCGCTCCTGAATAATTGAAGTAGTGACTTTATAAAGTCTCTGTCAAGCATATTTACTCCATGATCAGTACAAACTAGCTGTGCCTTTGTGACCTTGATTTCTTCTCACCACCATGTCTGTAACACCCTCTTCATACACAGGACTTTCTAGAAGTTTCTTTGAGAACGAAATCAGAGCCAACTAAATCACATATGCCTTCCCCGTTACTCAGATATTCAGTGAATCCTTTAGTTCACATTCCCCAGTTAATACTATATATTCTATATATGTATACAATTTCATTTAATGCCTGGCTTAAGTCCCTGTGTGCTAGATATATGTTACATTCCATCCTTCTCTATTTTTCAGTTTCAACTGGTTTGTCAATGGAAGGAACCAGTTCTACATGGAAGAGAGGAATGAAAGTGGGGTATGGTTGGTTTTTGGCCCCTGGGTTTCTCCTTGGGACTTTATGTTCTTGTGGCCACAATGCTTACTGAGCAGCCTTCTATAATGGCAGCTCTTATCTCTGAGTTCTGGTATTGTCCCCAACTTGTGTACTTTCAGTCTTGAGGGTGATAGTATATTTCTGGTGCAGTAGCCCAGAATCTTTTCCCTTTAACTGTCTATACTTTTATAAATTGTGCCTTAATTAAATGTGTCATAAATAACCAGTTTGAAGGTGCTTTTTCTTGACAAGATCCTGATGTTCGGTGCATGTCTTAGCATTGGAAATGTAAACTGAACCAAATAAATCCTCCAGGGCCTTGGTCAACACTGTATCATATAAAATCAAATAAAACAAAAGAGTTTATACTTTAATGGGGAATGCTTAAAATAAACAGGATAAATAAACAAAATCCATAGTAATTTAGAAAGCAGTTAAGTGCTAAGAACAAAAAAATTGAAGAATGAATGAGAGTCAGAAACTAGAGTAAGAGGAATGTTGAAATTTCAAAATATTTATATAAGCTTGAATTGAGAATCTTTGAGCAGGAATCTTTATCTGGTTCAGTGCTATACCTTTAGCTGATACAATTGTGCCTGATGCATAGTAGGTGCTCAATAAATATCTGTTGAATGAATGCAAATGCATTCAACCATTCATTCAACTAATACTGATTGAGGGACCACTCTGCTGGGCCCTCAGGATAATATAAAATAACAAAAGTTATTGCCTTTAAGGATTTGACTACTAATATCCTTTCTGTCTAACAATACTGTAATTTCCTCAACACTCACTTCATATTCTGAGCTTCTTTTTATTCTTAGTACTTACCATGGCCCACTACATATAACAAAATAAGCAGCAAAATTAGTCA